CTGGGTCTCCCACATGGATTCAGAGGCCCAAACACTTGGGCCACCTTCTGCTGCTTTTCCCACGCAATTAGCAGGGAGCTGGATCAAAAGTGGAGCAGCCAGGACACGAACTGGTGCCCATGGGGGATGCCAGCACTCCAGGCAGTAGCTTTACCCACTACACCACAAAGCCAGCCCCCAAAGCCTCAGTTTTGATCACAATGTTACTACTAGTAATAATTTTGTCAATAATATGCATGTACAATATCATTTTTCTTTTTTTAAAGATTTATTTGAAAGGCAATAGCTAAGGCTGGGCCAGGCCAAAGCCAGGAACCCAGAACTCCATCCAGGTCTCCCACGTGAGTGGCAGGGACCCAAATACTTAAGTACTTGGGCCATCATCTGCTGCCTTCCTTGGTGTGTTAGCAGGAAGCTGGATTGGAAGCAGAGTAGCCAGGACTTGAATCAGGCACTCTGATATAGCATGCAGTGGTCCCAAGTAGCAGCTTCACCCACTATACCACAACACCCACACCCGCCTACCCGTGTGCGAGATCTTTAAGTACATCTAACCTCAGTGACACAAAACGGAAGGCAGGCTCTAACTGCACTTGCGCCTGGCTGCCAGGCCTGCCCCTATCTGTCTCTGCTCCAAGTTCCCCCTGGTCTGGCCTTGCCAGTCTGGTAGGAAACATGTATGGTGTTTGTTGAAGCCAAAGCCTGCCCACTCCCTGGATACCATTAGTGGGAAAGAAAACCCTCCTTGGACAACTAGAGGACTCTGATTCCAGCTCGGCCCCTCTCACCTTCTAAAACCAGAGTATTCTCCTGACCTTGAGCTGATGGTCTGAGAAACAGGCCCCCACCTTTGTCCACATTCGGACAGGGACATGGTCATCTGCCTGACACAGACACCCTGTAGAAGGTCAAGAACAACGTGTGTCTGTCAGGACTAAAAGGAGACCAGGAGAGAGGGAGTCTGCAGAATGCGACATTGACAGATCTCAACGTACGTGCTCAACTGTTATGAACCCCAGAGTTAACATCTTCATTTTAAGAGCAGTGCCTCTCCAACCCCCATCCAGTCCCTCCTGAGCCACTGCCAAAGCTGCCAGACCTGCACTCACCTCTTCTCTTAGGGATAGAGAGAATTTAACCTAGCACCTGACACAGTGCCTGGGCCGATGTTTCTGTGCACATGGAACCGTCTCCCTGTTATCTCCACTGGGCCCGCTCAAGGCTCAAGGCCCAAGACCTGCCTGCTCTTCCATAGGATAATTCACAGCTACTCTTTGTCAAATGCCCAGCACTTCCAAGAAACTCAGGTGCTTTGCAGGCCCCTTTTAATTTAATCCTTACAACAACCCTGCATGGTGGGTTGGTTTCCACCTTACTCATGAAGAAATAGGCTTAGACTATAGAAGTGGTTGGCCTACGATTACGTACACAGGAAGAGGTGGAGTCTGGAGGGCAGGGCTCGTGTGTGTGCCTTGTCTGTTACTGTGTGTGCCCTGTGTCCCCAGCACACAGCGGGGAAGAAATGCAGCAAGAACCCTGCGTCACCTATAACTGTGAAAGATGCTGCCCTCCCCCTTCCAGAGAGGGGCCAGCGAGTCAGACTCACTGGTCTTGCCTCCCTGCCCCTTAATCCCAAAGACCACATTCGAAGTTTGCCTCCTTGTGAAAGGCCTGGAGCTGTGTCTGTATCCAGTCCACCCCTTCATTGCATCCCCTGCCCACCTTCTTCTTGGGCTGATGCTGCTTTTGTTCCTGAGGATGGTGAGGACAGGTACACAAGTAGGAGGGGTAGAAAACGGACATCTCTGGGGACCCACTAGGACCAGGTCAGCCAAGATCTATTCTATGTCTCCTCTCTTCTCCATCTGTTTAGCTTATCCTTCTAGTTTCTCATTCAACTGAATGACAATTTACTTTTTCTAATTACGTGGGAGCTGGCCTTTGCTACCTCTAAAGTTGGCACATCTAAAATAATAAAACCAGGAGGTTGGGCTGTGGCATAGGAGTTAAGCCACCGCTTGCAGCACCAGCATCCCATATCTGAGCGCTGGTTCCAGTCCCAGCTGCTCCAACTCTGATCCAGCCCCGCTAATGTGCATGAGAAGGCAGAGTTTTGTATGGCCATCTACAGGGAGACCCAGACAGAGTTCCTGGCTCCTGGCTCCTGGCTCCTGGCTCCGGCTTGGCCCAACCCAGGCTACTGCAGTCACCTGGGTAGTAAACCAGTGAATAGAAGATCTCTTTCCATCTCTTCTTGTGTCACTCTTTCAAAGAAATAAATATATCTATAAAAAAATGTTTTTAAATCAAACCAAACCAAACCAGTGGCAGGGATCCAGATGCTGGGGATGGTAAGATCCCAAGCAGCTGTAAAAATGGACTCTGCTTTCCGACACTATGGTAAATGTTAGAGTTTTTTATGTTGTCCCAAGAGGATTTTCCCCCCACTAACAGAAAAGTACTAGCTGTAAGTTTTCATGAAAGTCAAGAAGTTACTTATTGCAGCATCTGCCCAGAGATTCTTTGATGTCCATTTTCATAAACTTTAACCCAGATGTACTCTGAATATTTGGACTGAGAAAGGAACCAAGTCACTGTAACTTTTTTTTTTTTTAAAGAGTTATAGAGAGTGGTAGAGACACAGAGAGAGGTCTTCCATTTGCTGGTTCACTCCCCAGATGGCCACAACACCGGAGCTGCGCCAATCTGAAGCCAGGAGCCAGGAGCTTCTTCCAGGTCTCCCATGTGGGTGCAGGGGCCCAAGGACTTGGGCCATCTTCTACTGCTTTCCCAGGCCATAGCAGAGAGCTGGATTGGAAGAGGAGCAGCCAGAACTAGAACTGGCGCCCATATGGGATGCCAGCGCTTCAGGCCAGGGCACTAACCCACTGCGCCACTGCGCCACAGCGCCGGCCCCCTGTAACTCACTCTTCAAGCTTCCTCCTTCCCTTGCACTGTACTCAGGAACAGTGTGGCCTACAGACGAGCAGCCAGGATGCTGCAAGCACACGTGCCAATTCCAAGGCTGCCAAATCCTTGTTTGTGGCCTTTGGCACAACAACACAATTCCTGGGCCTCACAATCTCAAAAATGAGGATGCAGAAAGTCCCTTCCATAATGATTATGGCAAGAAGACGAGATCACTTAATGCAGGAACCAGCCATGCTAACCTTCAGAGATTGTCACCATGACTTCCTCTCTGCTGTCCACGTTATACGAATGATCTCTATTGCCTTTGGCCACATTTTCAAATCCACCCCATTGCATGGGCACACCCTTACTGAAGGCGTACCTGAGCACCCTGGCAGCGGTTTGCCACAGCCTCTATCCTGGCTCAGCCAAATGTTGGACCAGTAATAGCCCTTCTGAGCCTCGGTTTCCACATCTGTAAAATGGGGGTAGATCAGACCTTTGGCCTGGCACTTGGGAAGCCTGCATCCAATACCACAGTGCCTGGGTTCAGGTCCCAGTTCTGCTGATTCCAGCTTCCTGCTGGTGCATGCTCTGAGGAGGACTCTGGATTGAGGTCTCAGCTCCTGGCTTTGGCCTGTCCCAGCCCCGGCCAGCGCGGGCACTGGGGAGTAAACCAGCACATGCAAACTGTCTCTCTGCCTCCTGAATAAATTAAAAAACTAAATTTTTTTTAAAATGCGGACAGTTAGATCTCTCACCTCCAAGAGCAGCTGTGAAGATAAATGAGGCAGGTGTAAAGCACTTGGCACCCAAACATCAGCTCCCAGAAATAAGAGAAAATGACAGAGAGCCGGAGGGAGAAGAAACCACAAGGTAGAAAGACAAGCAGTCTCCTGCGTGCGTATGACCAGGAAAAAGGACACACCAGGGTCAGGAGACTAGAAGCTGTCCACATTTCTCCTTCCAGTGATGCACACTGCTTCCTGCGAAGATGCTGTTTACCACTCCTCAGCTTTACTGAGGGCTCCCAAAAAAAAGCACAGGTTGCAGGACCTCAGCACAGCACACAGCTCAGGGACACGCGAGAAGGAACAAGGACAGAGGGAAATTCCAGTTTTCAGAATCTGTTATGCTCCTGGGACCCACAATTCAGGCCACATACTTCACAGGAAACGTAGTCTGTCCTTGCGGATTCTCTTTTAATGTTTATTCTTACTTACCTACTTGAAAAGCAGCATAGGTGAGAGGGATGGATGGAGGAAGAGACAGAGATCTTCTATACATTAGTTCACTCCCTAAAATGACTTCAACCAGGGCTTGGCCAGGTTGAAACCAGAAGGAACTCCATGCAGGTCTCCCAAGTGGCGCCCAAGCACTTGAGCCATTATGGGTCGCCTCCCAGGATGCACTAGTGAAAAGTGAGATTGCAAGTGGAGCAGTCAGGACTCAGCTGGATACTCACACGTGGGATGCAGGCATCCCAAGTGGTGGCTTAACCCACTGCGCCACAGCACCTGCTCATTCTTACAGTTTCTTACTGCTGGTCCTCTTCTGGACACCAGCAGTGACTAGACAAGGCCAAGTGCCTGCAGGGCTCCACATTTGCCACCCAATTCAGGTCACCACCCTAAGTAGCGCCTTTGGCCCATTCTGCAGATCAGAAATTGGGGACCAGAATCTTTCAGTCACAGGGTCGCCATGACGGCTGAAGATGATGCACGCTAAGAAGCAAGGCACGGGGCACGGGGCACCCAGAGCCGGGGGAGGCAGTCTGCTGGAAGAATGAGCAGCTCTCTTTTTTCTGTTTGAATGACAGGCAATTTATATGTGGCTCCCAAATCTAAGCAGCTTTTTAAAAATTCTTGAAAAGATAAAGCATACCTACCTGTTCTGTGAATCAAATTTCTTCCAGACATCAATAACCAAGTGGCAGCAGGGAGGCCTGCTGTGGCCACACAGGTAACAGATAACCGCCCCTAAAAGGTGGAGGAAGTCATTAAGGGTCTAAGCCATGAGAAGTATAGAAGCCTCAAGCCTCTATACTTCAAGAAGCAGGAAAGATACTCAGAAATAAGGAAACACTAGTCTTAAAAACAAAACATTTTATTTCAATGCAGAAATTCTAGAGTACAAAACCATTTTGCAAACGTTAGCTGTGCTCTACCATCACCTATTCACAAACTTCTGTACAAATCAATTAAGGCATTCATGTAAAAACTGTCAATACACAGCATGCTACTCCTGCCAACCAGGGCTCACTGTCCCACCAGACCCCAGCACAGACTTAACAATGAGGCACCCAAGGATGCCAGTCCCGCCGTGTTCCACAGGCTTCCCCACAAGGACACAGTGCGAACTTTCGCAGGAAAAAGGACAATCTTTTCTCAACAGTGAAAATCAGTTACTCGCTAAATGAACACATCTGGTTTTCAACAGAAGGTTTTTGCTGCTGTCCAGACTCTCCATGCTTTTTTCGTGAGAGGAAAAAATCATTTTATATAACAGATAAGCACAAGCTAGGGTAATCCAAGGGCAACATTTCTGTATCACTCTGGCTGCCCATTGTGTCTACGTCACTTGCACATGGAAGAATGGCCCTTGGCATCCTCTCAGCTGCCGTCTTGCAGGATCTAAACACCTGACATGCCGTCGGCTGTCAGACTTTCCTGAGGGGACAAAGCCCAGTGCTTGGTCAACTCTGAGCCAAGGCTCAGGCTCTTTTAAGTCACAGAACATGTTCTGGAGGCATCTGTGGTCCCAGTTAAAATTTCAGGGAGGCACCAAAGGCCAGGAGGGAAGACAACTGGCCAAACCCCTCCAGAGTCCCTCTGGGGGTAGGGGGAGATTCTACTGTGGTGAAGTAGCCTTCCAATGGGAAAGTGGCACTGAGCAACTTTCTGTCGTCACCTCACCAGTGGTTAAATTGAAGTCGGCACCATTTAAAGATCTCGTGAGTCACTACATAAAGGCAACATGTAGAGATAGGTAAAAATAGACCCCGAAACTGGGGGAGGGGTAGCCGCCACACCGAGGCTGAGAGCTGGTCTTGCAGCAGCTGAGGAGTGACACGAAACCTATCAGGAATGAGCACCAAGTGTCTGACCTCAGCCCCCGCGACAAAGCGACTCTCACCAACAAGGGAAAAAGCCAGGTGGCAGTGGGGTGATTCTCAGAATTAATATATGCCCTGCACCATGTTTTACAAGTGGCATTATGTGTTTAAGTGGTAAGAAGATCTGGGCACGGAAGAAATTCCCTGTAATCCTCACCCTGAGCTTGGCCTTCTCAAGGCACCGACGTGAATTAAGGCACCGAGGTTCTGTTTGGGCAACTAAACGGAGTGTGGCGCTGAGAAACAGAAGAGCAGTGAAGTTATTAAGCCGCTGCCAAACAAGAGCCGCAAAGAATGCTCTAAGTGGGGGGGATTATTTATCACTGAAATGAAAGCACCGGGGGATGACTTCACCGTGGTTTCCAGCCGCACGGAAGGTGACCAGCTGTTCTTTCTCCACTGCAGCCGGAACAAAAGGAAGCCGGTTTGAATTTCTGTAAGGAAGATGCCCCAAGAACTATCTGATCAGACTCCCATCCACAGCCGTATGTCTGGAATAATTCAGACGCAGCCCCATCGGACACCACGGAGGGCACACACTGGATCATCTACACTTTCCCCAGCCCCCAAATCCTGAAATTGGAACCAAAGCTATTGGCTTACCGGCAGACTTCCTTTTGTTTATTTTCACCCTGAGGCTGGAAAGGATGTGATATGGCGAGGATGACCCCAACCCCCAGGAGGACTCCTGGTATCTCCACATCAGGAAAAGCTTTGCTCTCTACACCCTTTCACGCCTCCCCAACAGTCAGTTCAGACCCTGCACAACAGAAGGTAACGCGAACACCTGGCCCTAGCGGAGGCAGCAGATTCCCTGCCTGACTCCCCACAAATGACTATTTTCCTAATTGCATCTTGGCCTACACTCAGAACTGCACACCATCTAAGAGAACAGTTATCCTCAACTGTGAATCAATCGGATTTTGAAATTAACAGCTGGCTTGCCTTTCTCTGAAGATAACTATGAAATCTAAGAAGCAATCAAAACATTTCAAATATACTTAGAATCATATCAAATTCCTTTGGCGGGAGGACAGGAGAAAGAAAAGGTCTGGCTACTGGCTGCATTTAGCAGGAGCATTTCTGGGGGCACCAGACATCTGTAATTACCATGGATGTCCTTTGCTCATCTTGAAAGGCAGAGGTCACGGACAGGCAGCTCTGTGGGCCAGGTCAGGTCTGTGTGTGCTGTGGGGCCTGTTCAAATTCTTAAAACATTCAGTTGCTGTGGTTTGCCCCTCTGCAAATCCATGTTATTTAGTCCCCATTGTGAGGTATTAAGAGGGTGGGAACTTAATCAGGCAATGACATTTGGAATTGGGGGAAGGGGGATGATAGGAGGTAATCAGGATTTTACAAGACCATCAGGGTGGGATTTCCTTGACTGAGTATTTGTGGCTTCCTGGGGAAGTGGAGGAAGACACTGACCAGGTAACACACACATACACACACACACACACACACACACCTCTCACCACATTATACTCTGCATTGCCTCTGGACTCTGCCAGCCAGGTGGCCAACTCTACATGTTGACCTCCAGAACCATGAAATACACTTGATCTTAGCCAAAAGGCCGAGAAGCGATAGAACCATGAAATAAAATAAACCTCTTTTTCTTTTAACTTACCCAGTCTGTGGTAGTATTAGCAATAGAAAACAAACTAATACAATTGTAACCTTTTTTAAAAACCACAATTTTTTCATTTAAATATAAAAGATTCTTAACTTCTCTTGAAAAAATGGGAAGATCAGGAAATACTACACAGCCACAATCAGTTGGAATAGTCGTCCCCTGTAGGCTGGATGGGAGCTCTTCGGTTTGCCACAGTCACCACCATTCCTTATTGTCTCTCTGACACTGAGAAGGTGTAACATTGCCATGAGATTTTCCTATACCTGACCTGATGTGCTGGTACTCACTGAAGGCAAAAGGTCTGCTAATTAAGACCAGCAGTCTTTAAATAATACACAGAATCACTGGTAACCTTCACATTGCTATTATCTCTCTCCAGCAAAGACAAAAAGAATAATTCTTCTCTCGTTACGAAGGCCAAATTAGTGCTGAGGAGTCACAGACTTTGTTTTGGAAGGGGGTTGCATCACTTCTAGGAATAAAAATGCCCTCCCCCCCCAGCAGGAGCTATGGCACAGCAGGTAAAGCCGCCACCTGCAGTGCCAACATTCCCCTATGGGCACCAGTTTGAGCCCTGGCTGCCCCACTTCCAATCCAGCTCCTTGCTATGGCCTGGGAAAGCAGTGGAAGGCCCAAGTCCTTGGGCCCCTGCACCCGTGTGGAAAACCCAGAAGAAGCTCCTAGCTCCAAATGGGCCCAGCTCTGGCTGTTGCAGCCATTTGGGGAGTGCGCCAGTGGATGGAAGACTTCTCTCTCTCTCTACCTCTCCTTCTTTCTGTGTGTAACTCTGCCTTTGAAATAAATAAATAGATCTTTTTTAAAAATGCACCCTACTCCCTGCCACAGTTTCTTTTAAAAAATGCTCAACTCCAAAAAAAGAAAAAAGCTCTAAAACTCCTAAAACCCTCATTTCTGGAGGGACAGTTCTCCGGTTTATTTTACATATATGTCAGAGGACCCAAGACCAGGAGTTGGTTTAAAAAAAAAAAAAACTAACTAACTAGCTTGTGGCTGTGAAGTTGCAAGAATGAACCCTGACGAAGGGACACACACTTAACTACTCATAATTTACTACATATGGATCCCAATGATGTTATCTTTGTCAAAGACAGCTTTTCAAACTTAACTGGGGCTGTATTCACTTACTGTCAACCAAAAACCAGCTTGGACTTCATGGCCTGATCTCATTTTTGGCTCAAAATACAATTTCTTGGCTGGGTCCCCACCTGAACATCTAGGCCTGCACTAAACTGAGTTCTGATTCTTCCTGGAGACCAGTGTCATCCGAAGGTTCAAGATGGAGGCCTCCCGAGACTCTGCAGCACGCAGCTGAGCCCTCTGCCATGTGGCAGCCTCCAGGAGAAGGGCACACCTTCACTTGGGCTCCACTCAGCCTCGGGCAAGGCTGGCTGTGGCAGGTGCCACCCCGTCCGGGAGGTCAAGCTGCTAGCTCCTCTCCTTGAGCTACCGGCAGGCTCTTGGGTTTCCTGGTACCCTGGACTCACCCTGGTCTCCTCCCTACAGGACACCTTCTAACTTCACTACACAAACCTTTTTTCTCAGGATCAAAGCCTTTCGTTGAGATCATTCCCACTGTCTAATTCCTGCTTCCCCAATATTTTAAAGCCTGGGAGACTTGGCAGAACATTTTTTCTGAATTCCATGTTATCATTTCCATTCTCTGGGACAACTTCTGAGACCAAAAAATAAAATTAAAAAAAATTTTTAAAAAAAGCAGCTATGTTTAAAACAGATGTTTTGCCTTAATCTACAAGACAACTATTTCCATTTCTACCTCCCCATTCTGCACGAATGAAGCACAACTAGGAAGCTGGACTTAACTTGCTGAGTCTGGCAATCACACCGTAGTTTCATTATTTGGCATGGTAGAGTTTGAGACTGTCAGTTAGAAACACTAATAAGTATCCAAACCTTAAATCCAAACCAAAACATCACTTGATTTTTGGACCAGCACACTCTTTGTCTCTTCCATTTTCATTACAAGTGAGTTCACCAGCCAGCACTCTGCCCACACCCTTGGGGTCCAGTTAGTGGGTCTGCCCATTGGGTCCTGGAAGCTACTTTCTCACATGCAAAGCTGAATATTGGCCTAGAAGTGGCTCCTACTGGCTCCCTCAGGGCACGAAAGCCCTCTTAAAGAGAAACCTGCTCAAGTTCTTTCCAGTGCATTCTGCTACGTTTGCAAACCTCCTTCACAGAACGGATGCCCAGGAGGAAATGGCGAGGTGACCAGCTGTGAGCAGGAGCTCTGCCCAAGTCCCAGACTCCAGGGAGACAACACACCGCATGTCTCCTGCGACAAGATGCCTGGTTTTATGGGGAGACAGTCTTGCAGCTCCCTGGCTCTCCCTCAGAGCAGCTGCAGGAAATTTGATGCCGAAGAACAGACGAGCACATTCTTCTAAGAAGCTGCCAGCTGCCTTTTCAGAGCAGGGAGTAGGGCTTTAGAATTCAAAATACACACAAACCTCATCTTCCCGGCAAGGGTACGAGCCTTGCTCCCCCACCTGCCGAGCAAGAATCTGGGAAGGGCAGTCCTGTCCAGGCCACCTCCCTCCCTGCCTCAGGATGCTTCTCCACACCCTCTTCACGCAGGTTCTGTTTGATGAGGCAGTGAGAACCATGGTCCCGGGTCATTGCTACTTGCTGATCAACAAACAGGATGAGGACAATTGCTTTTCCTTTGGAAACTGAAATTCTATGGAGAAGGCACTCACAAAAACAGAATAGTTTACTTTGGTGGCAGTCTCCTTTCCACCCCCCTAAAAAGACATTTGTTGCTAATCAAAACCAGGTCGGCAGATTCGCTGGCCACCACCTCCACATACTGCTCAAGTCTGGTGAATTCTGCTACCTAATACTCAGAATCCAGCTTTACACCAGAAGGCCAACCAAACCACAACTTCCAATAATGCAGCCCAGCTGGATATCAGTCTCTTAAAATAAACTTCCAGGCACCCACATCTGAGATACACACAACAAACATAAGCCAGGGAGACTTGGCCAGCAGCGCTGGCACCTGCAATGATGCCTACTCAGACCAAGAGGAGGCGCTGTGTGCTGTGGGTCTGGTGCCTCCTGCATGTTGACCAACCCCTCTCCGATGAACTGGTCCAGATGGTCGGCCTGGCCCTGGGGCCCCCACCTCAGCCAGCCACACCACCCAGCAATACAAAAGGACTGTTTTATAAAAGGTGACTGTACATTCAGTTACATTTTTACCCTTTGACTCAAAGCGTATTTAACATGCATGGCATAGTCAGTTCCACGCCAACACAGGACAGGAACATCATCTGCAATATAACACAGGTTCCAGGTAGACCAGCACGTGATTTCTGTGTCGCAGGATACACAAAGTGCTTCTTCCGCAAAGCATTTCAAATCAAAGTAGCCAACAGGCAGAGGGCACAGAGTTCAGTAGAGTCTGAATGATCAGTGCAGATATTCTCCTGTTTCTCTTTACATGTTTGCTCTCTCCATCCTGAAACAGGCTCCGGTCCAAGGCCTGACCTAGTGTGGCAAGCTGCTGTCAGACCACAGACACGCCTTGCAGAGTTCCATAGGGATTTAGAAAATTGGACACTTTGACAAGCTATTTGGTAGAGTGTTGGAACAAAGGGGAGCAAGTATTGGCCAGAACTTCACTCCAAATATCCTTGGATGAGACCTCAGCTCCAGCAGGCCATGCAACCAGAGATGAACTGAGGAACCAGTTAAAGTGGCAATGCTTAGACTCTTCCGTTTTGTTACAAAGGGGCCACCGCGTGAAATTCATCAGTGTAGGTATGGCAGCCAAGTTCTGCTTTGCATGCCCCAGAGGCCAGGAGCTTGGAAGGAAGAGCAGGCGGCTCCTCCTCACCTAAGGAGAGAAGAGAAGACAAAGCCACACAGTCATTGCATTTCACTGGACAGGCACTCATGCCACTGCATGACTGGCCTATGGGCTTTCAACATATGAGGCAGTCATTCCAAACAGCTCAGGATGGAGCACTCTACACCTCTTAACAGCTTCTAGTCTCCAAGGTGAGGCCAGAAGAGACCTTCCTTGAAGATCAAGGGTTTGCGTGCAAAATTCCAACTAATTGCAGGCATGGTAGGGAGCAGTCTGAAATGGCATCCTGCAGGGGCTTTCTGGGAAAGCGAGCCCTCCTGCACAGCATTCTTCCCCTACCTAGGGCCCTGTGCTGAGTTAGGATGGAGAAAAGACTGTTCCAATGAACCCCAGGCTCAACAAATGCGGATTCAAATGGAAGAGCAGGGGGTAGTAAGCATTGCAGACCCCAACAAAACACGGATTCACAGATCCTTTCCAACGCTCTTGAGACCTGATGTGTTTTGGAATTTAGCTATTTTTGGACTTAAGAAAGAAAACACAATACACATCTAGTGTGTTAAGTTAACACTCCTTGCAGGGTCTCAACAGCTCACCGTATTTTTCCATCATTATTTCTGCAGCTCAAACATGTGGTTAGTCCCACTACCTTGGATCAAGTTTATCAAAGGAGCTGGGTTACTTCCTATCAGGTTTCACTGCCCAATGAGGAAGCACCAAAATAACGGGGTGAGGGGTGGGGGAAGGGCTTTAATGGATTTCAGAAGCATGGCCAAAGGCTGAGGCCTGTATCAGGGAGCCTTACCCAGGCCTGATGAGGAGGACACGCTCTCGGTCAGCGAAGACGTTTCTGTCTGGTCAGCCGAGAGTCCCTCCATCAGAGGCAGGGACAGCTCCGACGAGGGCACGGACGAGTCGTAGATGCCAGAGTCCCGCGGCATATCCGAGGGGCTGCCGCCTTTCACCGGGTGCAGCAGGGGCTGCAGGGAGGAGCCGCCGTCGGTGGCCGGCCGGGCCTCCATGTCTTCGTCCAGGTTCTCCTGGTGCGAGTCTGCCGGCCCGGTTGCCCCAAGGGCGGCCGACTCAGCCTTTACGCAGAAGTCGCTCTCGGGGCCTGGTTTGCCCACAACATCGTTTAAAACCAAGCCTGAGTCGAACTTCTCCAGGACGGGCTCCCGGTAGCGCAATGGGGGCGGATGGAAGGGGACGAACTGCTTCTCAAACCAGTCGGGCTCCTCGTCAATAAACTGGTGCATGTTGCAAATGGCGACGTACAGGGAGCGGCCCGCCTTGCTCCGGAAGTAGTTCCTTCTGCTGCCGGGTCCCGGATGCTGCGCCGGCTCCTGCAGCCCATGGTCTCGGGAGTGCAGGTGGGAGCAGAGCTGTGGAAGGTTGTCCATGAGTTTGTACTTGGTACTCAGGTCCAGGACGCCGGGGACATCTCCCTCGCAGGAATAGTCGAAGTAAACGGCAATGAACTTGCTGAGCGCTCCGGAGGAGCTCTGCTTGGCTTGGCGGAGCTTCTCGGCTATGGCCGACACGGCCACCAGGAAGAGTTCCCCCTTCCCGCAGCCTCGGCCACTTCCTTTGTGTTTGTAGTTCTTCTTGTCCACGAAGTACTTCATGCCTTTGGAACACACCACGATGATGAACTGCGCCTCGTGGATCTTCTGGATGACCCATTCCCGCTGTCCCTCTCTGCAGAGGCTCAAGTCTTCCCACAGGTCCAGAACCACCTGCCCAGGGGACAAGGAACGTCACTCAGCACACACAACAGTCAGGAAGAAGCACCGAGTAATAGGAAGCAAAGTGTTAGATAGAGGTCAGGGCGCGGGTCCCTGAACCATTGTAAGCATGACTATGTGCAGGCTCTGGGTTACTGGGCACCAGGGAACAGCTACTATTCCATTGATGGTCACACACCAGGCCTCTCAAGGGCACGCTTCCCACAGCTTATTTTAGCATCCTGTGAGGTCATTAGCATTCCCAAGGTACAAGCCCTTCAACCCAAAGGGAAGATCTGGGAGGGACGCTGGGTGGGGGAGTCCCTGACAAAGGGGTGGGAAGTAGGCACTTGTGATCTCTCAGGGGGTTTCACCTTCTCAGGCCCCTTTCATCTGATTCTGCTCCCAACACTTCTTGCTTATTGTGTTGGCATCTTTTCTTCTGTAGTTTAGAAACTACTTCCCCATGGCCATGACCAAACATGGCCGCCACAGTCCTTCACAGAAGAAGGGCATGCTGAAATGACTTTGTTCCCTTCTTTCACTCTAAGATGTTACCCAGGGTAAGATAGTCCCTAATATACATCCATTTGTTGAAAATAATCCTGAGTCACCTTATGCAAGGGCACTTCCAAAAGTTTATTGAGGGGCCAGCACTGTGGTGTAGTGGGGTAAAGCCACCACCTGCTGCGCTGGGTACTCACATGAGTTCAATTTGAGTTCTAGCTGCTCCTCTTTCTATCTATCTCCCTGCTAATGTGCCTGGGGAAGCAGCAGAAGATGGTCCAAGTCCTTGGGCCCCTGCACACAAGTGGGAGACCCAAATGGGTGTCCTGGCTTCTGGCTTTGGTCTGGTCCAGGCCTGGTAGTTGCAGCCATTTGGGGAGTGAACCAGGGGATAAAAGGCCCCTCTCTCTCTGTCTATGCCTCTCCCTGTAACTCTGACTTCCAAATAATACAAATCTTTTTAAAAAAAGAAGTTCATGGAAAATGAAATAAAAGTAAGTTTACTTTGGTGCAAAAAATTTATGAAAGCCCTGCATACTTTTTCTTAATTTGCATGGATTTCAAAATTGTTTTGCAACAAATGAAACTTACCTCTTGAATTTCATTGTCCACAAATTTTGTGAAGTTTATATAGATGAAACACTTAAAAACTGTTCCAATCTTTGACCCAGCAATTCTATTTTCAGGCATCTTTCCTTAATAAATCATCAGAAAAAGAGCACTACTGAACTACTAAGATGTTTAACAACTTGAATTAACTCAGTTTTGGTGAATCAATATTATTGATTTTACCCTGCTGTTTAAAATTACAGTTTATGAAGAACTGCTAATAGTGGAGAAAAAGTATTAAGTAAAGAGAATAGCTCCAATCTGCCCACAAAGCAAAACTGTATGTGTAGGTTCGTCCATGCAGAGAAAGGCTGGATGAGAGTGCAACAAATATTAACTGTGGTTCTTCTTTCTCCAGGTTGGTATTACAGGCAATTTTTAAATCTGTCATCCGGTTCTGGTTTCTACATTTTCTACAGTAAACACTACACTCAGAAATGTTAGACTGTTTTCCCCAGAGGCTAATTACTTGCAAAACAGAACACACTGGGCCCATCCATGGTATCTGAAGACAGTGCGTGCCACCCCCTGCAGTCTGCAGTTGTTCCAGTGGGTGCTGATCTGCCAAGGTCAGTGCTTTCTCACAGACGGAAGCTGGGCTAGCCTTGTAAATATGCTTTGTTGACACCAGGGGGCAGCCTTGCCCCACGGAGGGATTCTCAGAGCCACCACTAGGAGGTTTCACCTCACAAATGAACTCCCAATTAAATTACTGAACAGTTAGTGCATTTGTAAGAAACAGGGTGTGTGCCTTTCAGACTCCACTCTAAAAATTAACATTATGACATCATAGAAAAGCTATATATTAACAGCTTAAGAAAGCAACTGAGAAACTAGAGCAGACAATTTGGGCCCTTGACACAGTACTGCTGTCTAAAGGCACCTCCTTCCTACCCCTGGTTCTCTCTGCCCATTGCCCTCCCCCACATGGCCAGTTTCTCCTTTTCCATTCCTTTACACCAGTCAATGGCCAAACAACCTCACCTTCCCTCCAATGGTGGCCCCATTCCGCATTCCCCTCCTTAGCAAAGAACTGTCTAAACTCACTGCTTTACTCGTCACTCTCTGACCCTACAACACTCACTGGGATGTCTTGAGTGACTCCCGTGCCAGCTGCATATTCCTGTGGCAGCTGCAGTATGCTACTTTCTGCCACATGGGTGCCACTCAAGGCTTTTAAGCAGGCATGGTCAAGTGTTATGACATTTAGTGCTGGTGATGGCAGGGCAGCCTGGATGAGTACCAGACTATCTCCAAGGCTGGTGGTGCTGTGGTGCAGCAGGTAAAGCTGCCACCTGCATTGCCAGCATCCCATGTGAGTACCAGCTCAAATCCTGACTGCTCCACTTCTGATCCAGTACCCTGCTGATGTGCCTGGGAAAGCAGCAGAGGAGGGCCCACGTGCTTGGCTCCTGCTCCCATATAGGAGACCTGGAAGAAGCTCCTGGCTTCAGCCTGGCCCAGTCTTGGCTATAGCAGCCATTTGGGTAGGGAATCAGTAGACAGAGTATCTCTCTGTTTCTCTGCAACTCTGCCTTTCAAATAAACAAAATAAATCTTCAAATAAAAAAAAAAAAGAGAGGGATCTCCAATTTGCAAATGGTGGCAGTCGTCAAGGTCAGGTGTCACAGTAACCAGCCTGGAGGAGAGGTGAGGGCACCAAGCAGAGTACCAGAGTGAAAGAAGTGACTTCAGATTCCGCACCTCACAGCCACAGAAGTCCTGGAGAAAGTAGGCGAAACACTGGACAACATTCATGTGATTCTGGCCGTCTTTACTGGAGTAGCAGAGGAAGACCTTCGGCCGCGGCCGGAGCCGCTCTCTGGGGAGAGCCGTGGTATACGTCGAGGACTCTGAGCTCTCCTCATCCAAATGTGAATATATGTTTTCTAGATGAGAAAAGAAAGGGCTGATAGCTATCTGCGAGCAACACTTTGTCCTGTTCCCTAACACTAGGAATCCCGTGCTATCTTCAAGAAAGAGCAGGGGGCCGGCGTCGCGGCTTACTAGGCTAATCCTCTGCCTGCGGTGTCAGCAACCCTGGGTTCTAGTCCTGGTTGGGGGGCCAGATTCTGTCCCGGTTGCTCCTCTTCCAGTCCAGCTCTCTGCTGTGGCCCGGGAAGGCAGGGAGGGTGGCCCAAGTGCTTGGGCCCTGAACCTGCATGGGAGACCAGGAGGAAGCGCCTGGCTCCTGGCTTCAGATTGGCGCAGCACGCTGGCCATAGCGGCCATTTGTGGGGTGAACCAACGGAAGGAAGACCTTTTTCTCTGTCTCTTTCTCTTTTCTCACTGTCTAACTCTGCCTGTAAAAAAAAAAAAAAAAAAAAGAGCAGGGGACACATCTGCCTGGAGCAGCCCTAAGCCCCCAGTTCTGTCGCACCTTGGGTCACCATGGTGAATGGGACAGCTGGTTTCTGCAGTGAAGCCAATAGTCAAAAATTGCTCCTATCCTCCAACTGACCTTGGACAAGCTGAGAAATGCAGCACAGGACACACGGGTTGGCAGCCAGCAGTGCCAGGTGCACCTCCTGTGACTAGGCATCAGCAGGGTGCCTAAAGTTTTTATTGGGGTCTAACTTACAAAGGTGAAGTGCCCGAACCTTCAGGTCACCTTGTGGTGGGTTTTATGATAAGTAGACACCTGGGTGACCCCCACCCAGCTCCCTCGCAAGGCTCTTTTTTGACACCTGAGAGGTCCTTTAGGCCTTTCAATGTATTATGCTGAGCTGGAGAATAGAATCATGCCTGTCCCTTCAGTGGTTCCTGAGGGTAGAAAGCCAAATATGTGGATCTAGGGAAGCACGGCAGCCAGGGAACTAACCAGAGTTCTAAGGGAACCAGGAGCCCCCAGTCTCACTGTGCTGGCAAAGGCCCAGGCCTGCGCCTTCTGGGGTGGGGAGGAGGGGCGGGCAGGAGAGGGGAGGCAGGCAGGAGAGGGAGTGCGGCAGACACACAAAGAGATACCTTGTTGCTTCTTGCGGCACATCACAGTGAAGAGGGTTGCAAATGCCGAAATGACGACCAGGGGCACTGTAATGGCCACCGCCCTGATGGGCCCTGCCCACGGGGAGTGCACTGGGAGATTTCAGAGGGGGGAGAAAAACCGTTTTTAGACTTCAGTATCAGAACACATTCAAAGATAACTACTTTTTTTTGTTTGTTTCTTTTCAAGCATAAGCCACATGACAGGTTATCTGGGACCCCATTACCACCTTTCTCAGAGAGCTGATGTGGCAACTTTCAAAGGATTCAGCAGCTCATTTTTAAAGGATTGCAGGCAATGATTCAACAGTCAAGAGTCTGCTGGCACTGTAAATACCTCGGAGTGAGGAAACCTCTCCTCCCACTTTTCTTCCAAGGACAATTGACTATTTATTTGGTTTCCAGCCACACACACCATGCTGGCTTTGATCTTCCAGGCATCAACACCAGGGTGGAAGGAAAGTCAGATTTGATGGAACATCATTTAAGAGAGAGGAGCCGACTTTGTTTTTATAAATCATCAAGTACAGAAAGCAGCAGATACCTCGGTGAGCACGCAGGGGAGAGCCAACATTTCAAGCAGAACGACTCTTACCTGGCTTTAGGGCATAATGCATCACTTTTCTTGTTGTGTTAGTGTCATCTACCAGCTGCAAAACAGAGGATGCTGTGTTATTTCTTCTTCAAAGGGATAGCACCTCAACAAATTATGTCTACCAGAAAATGGGGGGAAATGACAGTTTCACTTGTTTTCCTTTAGTGGGAAGTGAGGGGTCAGTGGGACACCATGGAGGAGAACGGCTGAGCTAACAGCGAGGCTAGAGCCCATGTTCATTTACCAGGCAGAGACAGCTCATCTCCACTTCGCCAGCTCAAAACTGGAAACTCCATCAGGTTTCCTTTCATGAATCCAAAGGTTGTTTATGCACTGAAGAATGCAGCCAGCGAGTCCCACATTCTAACAATCCTCAGTTAAACTGGCACTCCTCCCACTGACTTCAATGGGCGTGCTTGCAGAAGGTGTGTCTATCCAAAGGCACACACTGCTGCCAGGGAATGCAAGAAGTAGCTGTTTCTACCAAAATGTGAAGACACATTGGATGTCTATGATATAGTGGGGCCATGGACCAACTCTGAACTTTCTTTTCTATTTTCCTCCTACTCCAAGATTTGAGGCCCCAGCCTGACACAGGAAAAGTCATCACAGAAAGGAGAAGAATCATATTTGCATGATTTTTACCATGGTGCAAAGAACAGCAAGAGAAATCCTGGAGAAGTCTAGGAGGACATGACTCTGTTTTGCTATTCTAATACTAAAACACAACATTTTTAAAGCTAAAATTTTAAAAAGTTATCTTTGTAGTTGAAGGAATACAATATAGAAAATTTAAATAATGGATTATAGGGAGTATGTGGTTCCACAGTTACCTGAAATATTTAATGAAAAGATGAAGTATCAATTATGTCTAAACTCTTTTAAAAAGTATGGAAAACCATGAAAGCGCACAACTGTGCACATATTCATGGCTTGGACTGTTCGTGTTGACAACAGCATTCTACATGAAGTGGATATGTTCAGTGAAATTAATAAGGCTTTCTTGAGTTCTATATATATCTACATACCTCAATGATATAATCCCCTGGAGAAACATTCTGAAGGAGGCAGCTGGTTGTCTCTGTATTTTGTTCCTGCAAAGAAGCAAACAACAATTTCACGATTCTCTTCTCTGAAGAAGGTCACCAGGGCTTCTCCTCTGGAGCTGAAGCAGACCTGCCATCAGCGTCAGTCGCCCTTAGCCCACGATGTGATTAGATGGGGAGTAACTGTATTGAACTAACCACATCTTATCTGAACTTCTCCAGGATAAAAGTTCCAGGGGAGCCCAGGACCCCCAGTCATATTCTATGCTTATCTGGTAGTACCCTCAGCAGGAACATTTGCTTTAAAACAAAGAAATCAGTTAGGATACCCTTTGTTTAAAAAAAAAAAAAGGACAAGGGAAGACATTAAGTCTGTGTTTGCACATGCTTTATTTGCCATCACTTTAACATTCACCTTTGTTAGAAGGTCAGCGGTAGAGGTGAGAGGTGGCAGGAAAACAAGAGTATGACAGAACTCCAACAGGAGCACACCTAGGGAGGGTCCTGGACCGCTGCCACCACAACCCAACAGCCTGAGTGTTTGCAGTCCTGTGAGCTTTCCCTTCCCCTGATAACCACCGGTGCAAGAACTTGCTTACTGAGCTCCTCTGTTTAACCTTGGCCTTGTGTATAAAACCAGGAGCCACTGAGTCGCTAGTGGCTTGGTGCTTAAGTTCTAGAAACTGTGACCTTGAGCCAGCCAGGTAACTCCCCCCACGGAGCCTCAGTTTCCCCATCTGTGAAGTGAGAACAGTGGAAGCCTGTGTTTCAGGCAAGGATTCAGGGGCTTAAAGCTCCAGGGCCTGCCATACAGTGAACACCCAATCAATGTACGAAATACAGCACAGCAAACATTTTATTCTTCTGATGCCCTGCCACATTTCCACCAGGCTTCATCACCACCAGGCAAGCTGGGATGCAGGTAACTGGGGAGTGAGAGGTCACGGCCAGAGGGCACTGAGACACATCCAGTGATGACAGCCTGAACCAGCGAAGCCTGATGTACACGTTCAGCCACCCAAAACCCAAGGGTCAGTATTTATGTTTTACATATATTTTCTAATTCTCTGAACTTTCAAATAGCTTTTACATTTTATTTCATTTTTTATTTAATTGAACAGAGAAGAAGGAGATAGAGACAGATGGACAGAAATCCCATTCCCTGATTCACTTCCCAAATGCTAGCAACGGCCATTGTAGACGGCAGAGATCTAATCCCTTGAGCCATCATCTGCTGCCTCATAGGGTACACACTGGTAGGAAGCTGGAATCTGGAGCTAGGGTATGGAACTCAGGTGTCCCAGTATGGAACGCTGGCATTTTAACTGGGATTTAAGTGCAAGGCCAAACGCTTGCCCCCAAGGAGTTACTTTAAAATACACTGGGGGCAAGAGGCAGGGTGGGAGGTGCCAAGGACGGGGAGGAGGGGCATGGTGGCATGGCTCAGCAAGTTAAGCCACTGCTTACCAAGCTGGCATCTAACAGTGGAGTGCCAGTTCGAGTCCTGTCTGCTCCACTTCTAATCCAGCTTCCTGCTAATGTGCTCGGGAAGACAGCGGCCAACTGCCCAAGCGCTTGGACTCTGCACCCATGTGGGAGACTGGTATGGAGTTCCTGGCTTCTGGCTTTGGCTTAGGCCAGTCTCAGCTGTTATAGCCATGTAGAGAATGAACCAGCAGATGGACGATCTCTCTACCTCTCTTTCTGTCTCTCCCTGTCACTCTGCCTTTCAAATAAATAAATCTTTTTAAACACACACACCACACACACACACACACACAAAGCATTCCTTTGGGCACACCCAGCAGCTCACCTGCTTACAGGTCTTTCGTTTGAAGGGGCCTTCATGCTTTAGCTTGTAATGAAGATAGAAGAAACGGAAGCCAAAGCTGTGTGGCGCATGGTCGAAGGACACCTGCATGTCTGCACCATGCTGGGTGATATTCAGGTTCCGAGGCTTCCAGACTGGGAGGAAGAAGGAGCACAATGAGCACCCAAAGGCTGCCCAGCACCAGGCTGGTGGCAAGGGTTGGACACGTGACAGCTAAGAACAGCTCTACTCACAGGGTTTGCAGGCCAGGTTGTCCGGCTGCAGCAACAGGTCACAGGCTATTAGGAGAGAAACATATTTGTCAGCACTGAGCGAGTCCAACATTTTCCTCATCCCCCAAGTCAGTGAAATATAAACATACCAGGACCGGGTGCTGCTGGACAGGGTATAAAATATATCAACTCAACCATGATTTTCCCTATGGTGAAAGTTGTATCTCAGGACTATTTACATGGCAGAACAGAACAACATGAATGCTGTTTATGCCACGTAAATGGAGACTGTTTGGGTGTCAAGTCGTCCGTATGTTTAAAGTTTGTCAGGATTTCAAGGCTGACAGGGAAGGGCAGTGGAAGTGTGCTGGTGCCCCTAGGAGGCAGAGGCTGTCATGCTGTAAACAGATATGAGGCCAGCCCCTGCCCCGCCGCGGAGGTGTCGAGGCACAGGAGAATTCTGGAGTGGTTCTGGAACCTGTCACGGCGCTATTTTAACCTCCACCCACGTCCTCATTTAAATTCCTTTTGATGGATTCTAAAAACATGGCATGCAGGATTCTCCCAGGCTGCAGTGTCCATGCTAAAAACCAGGTGCCAAAAGAGCAAGCTTTGAGGCAGGATTTTGAACACAATAAAAAGACAACAAGAGAGCTGAACAAGGAGTCCAGTGGGCCAGGCGGCTCACCCTGGCAGAGATTTCTGGGACGTGTCGTGCAACGTCAAGAAAATCGAAGGCAGCGTGGAAGCCACAATGCCCTGAAGTAGCGGAAAATGGCTGCCATTCCAGGAACACATCCCCTGTCTCTGCCTCACCCCTGAAATTATGCCACTTTTGATCTAGACAAGCCTTGCAAAAACACATTCTTCGAATCTCCTATCTGGTGGTTGTGCACAAACATCCAGAGCTGTCCTAAGATGCCGGTGGACTTTGCCCTGTGGAATCTTACTGGCATTAAGAAAAGGAAACCCAGTCTTAGAAAATAACTCTGCTGCGGGGCCAGCGCCATGGCTCACTTGGTTAATCCTTCGCCTGCGGCACCAGCATCCCATATGGGCGCCGGGTTCTAGTCCTGGTTGCTCCTCTTCCAGTCCAGCTTTCTGCTGTGGCCCGGGAAGGCAGCAGAGGATGGCCCAGGTGCTTGGGCCCCTGCACCCGCATGGGAGACCAGGAGGAAGAAACTGGCTCCTGGCTTTGGATCGGCGCAGCGCCAGCCGTAGCGGCCATTGGGGAGTGAACCAACAGAAGGAAGACCTTTGTCTCTGTCTCTCTCTCTCTCTCTCTCACTGTCTAACTCTATCTGTCAAATAAATTAAAAAAAAAAAAAAAAAAAAAAAGATAGAAAACAGCCACAGTAAAAACACAGCCCAGGGAAATACTGGCTTGGGCTGCGGCGCGACGGGGAACAAAGATGCCAGAGAGCGAGGACCCCGAGCACACAGCAGAGGAGAGTGTGTCAGATTTGACGGGCAGCAGAGCAGCCAGGGCCTGCGACTCCAGGCGCTCGACTGCGCAGGATGGCAGGAGGCAGCGGCCGCAGGCTTCAGAGCAATCGCCCCATCCCGTCTGCAGCAGCAGTGCAGGGAGATTACAGAGCCACCATGCACACGACAGACAGAAAAGGTGGGCGGCTGGCAACTCCTTATCTGATTTCCGGGCTGCGACATGGGCTCCACCAGCCCCCCGCCCCTCTAAGCAGGACTCCACATGTAAGAAGTAGGCATGGCAGGACCAAGGTCTCTGTAGCGCTGTTGCAGAGGTAAACTGAATACTGCGAAAGTACTTAGAACAAGGCGCACAGATGTCCGATAAATCAAACTTTCCGGAAGTAATTTCAAGGATATTGCTTAATTTGCTTAATTTGATCTTGAAAATGATCTACCCTAAAATCAACTTATACTTTTTATTCCTGTGATTTTTGAAATTATATTGTTTTGAATCATGGATTCATTCTCAAAAAAAAAAAAAAAAATCAGCTGTCAGGTCTGTAATGGAACAAACCAGGAGTGGCTGCCTCTGGTTAGATCAGCAGTGCCTGACTGTAGCTGTAATCCTCAAAAGTGCTTTTCTGGATGCTTTTCTCCTTGCTAAGCTCGCTTCATGCCAGGACCTGGCGTGCTGCTGCCCAGCTCTCTGCAGAGAACTCCTCACACAGAGCAGCCCCGCCGTGGGAACCAGGCAGGGAAGGCCATGCTCACCTCGGGTTCTGAAGAAGAAAGGGTGGTAATTGCTTTCATTTTTAATGGAAGGAAAAGGGACAATCTTTACAAAGTAATCCGTTTCAAATTTCATGTTCAGGAAAGGCTGAGATTCCATTCCCTAAAAGGGAACAAAAACACACACGACGTCACGGAGAAAGTGCTGGTTCCCTCCACCTCCCCGCGAGACCTCTGCTCCTACACACACCCAGCGGCGCTCAGACACAATTCCAGAGCCAGGGGTCGCGCCCCCAGGAAGCAGGAAGTCAGGTCTACTATCTATACCAAGTTTGGGTTCGGATCTCTAGCTAAGAGAATACAGCACTGTGTGTTCTTTGGCAAGGTCGCCACGGCTTGTTAATACAGGGCAGGGTGGGGGTGCTGAGCCCACTGACACCCTTCAGGGCTGCCGGGACAGGTAACCCGAGAGGGGTGTTTACTGCAAAAGGTTCCCCGGGACTGTGGAGCAGGCGGGCGGTGTGGCCACGCCGCCATTCTCGCCCACAGCCCCTCCGGCTCCAATTTCAGACTCAGAAAGCGCATTCAGACCCTGAATGGCGCGTCTTCAGGAGCACGGTCCCTATGTGCGACTTACGGTTCTTCTGAAGCTACTGTTGAGCTGCTTCGGGTCCTTGAGAAACAGCTGCTGGCACTGTCTTCCTTCCGACTTCAGCTCCTCCAGGATTACCCGAAAGCCTTTGAGGAATTCGATGCCTAAGCAAAGCAGAACACGTTTATGCAAAGCAGAGCTAGTGACTTCTAGACTCTCGCCTTCCTCTGAGATGACAGTCCTTGTCACACCAGAACACAAAGACTTCCGACACTGGCCAGGACACCTGAGTCTACAGGACGGGCAAGCAGACTCTGCTTCCCCCTGAACAGACCAGCTACCTGTCTCTGAGTCACCACTACTACCTGCTTAATCTCTAACCCAGCCAACCACTCCACAGATATCCATCGCCTCTGAGGTATGAGGGGGTCAAATCTTCACACCCACATCACGCTGGGCCAGACCAGTCTGCCATGGATGGTGTAGTCACCAGCCAGGTCTTCACCAGGATCCCTCCGGCTGATGGGGATTCCCACGGCTGACTGGGGCATTTCCCCAAACCACGTTTCCACTTTAAGTTTTAGCATGGTATTTCTGGGGCCCATTTCACAGAGCAATGTATGAAATTCTCAGCAAAACGTGTGTCTGCACGCAAGAGGTTCCCAGGCTCTGTGACTTGTGAAGTGGTTCCTGGCTTTAATCATTCCTGAGAGGCAGACACCCAAGGGCTACCCAGCAAGCACTCTCCTTCCAGCCCCCAGAGGTCCCCAGATGCCCCGGCTCAGCCTCCCACCACCTGAGCAGTGCCCCCACCCCCACCGCCCCACCACCCCACCACCCCACGGCCCAGCCGCTGCACATCCGAGTAGACGCTTTCAAAAGGATTAGGCTCCGGTGGCCACGAGAGCCAGCGCGGGGCCCTGTATCCCATGGAGACTGGAGTGGCCCAGCTGCAGCTGGAGATCCTCACAGCCAGCCTCAATGGGCACGAGATCGATTTCACATTCTTTCTCCACACCAGACAAGGAGACATTTTCAACCCGTCCCCTCCCAAGGCAAAAAAATAATTACACAGGATGCAATTAACCAGGTGGGAACATTATTGATGGCAAAGGCCAGGGAAATCCTTCTCTCCCAAATGGGTCCTCCAATCCTGTAATTATTTGATGACGAGCACATACTTCACGGTGGGTAGAGCCATGCAGCTATAATCAGGCCTTCACAGTGTGCAGGATCAGAGTGCTACAGTGCCATGTTGTGTTTCAATTACAAAGTCTCCTAGGGGGAGGTGGGGGAAGCCAGCGGCCCCACAGCCGGGGATTCAGATGGGACAGCAGGACACAAACTCTCCAGCATGTCTCTCACGGACTTGCCTTTTGAGATCCAAAAGTAATAATAATAATGATAGTTTTTTGAGCACATGCTTAGTATTTATATTTAACTTGTGCAATGTTCCCAGAAGTATTGTTGAACAAAAGCCAAGTGATTAATGTAATTAAAGGCCATATATGTCTCACAATTACATAAAAAGTCATCAGCTGAGGTGGGTGATTCTAGTCTTTATTTTTATTTATATTTTTATGTATTGGGGCTGGCTTAGTAGGGTAAGCCTCCCGCCTGCGGCACTGGCATCCCACATGGGCACCAGCTCGTGTTCCAGCTGCTCCTCTTGCAACCCAGTTCTCTGCTTGTAGTCTGAGAAATCAGTCGAAGATGACCCAAATCCTTGGGCCCCTGTACCCATGTGGGAGACCCACATGAAGCTCCTGGCTTTGGACTGGCTCAGCTCTGGCCATTGTGGCCATTTGGGGAGAACCAGAGTATGTAAGACCTCTCTCTCTCTGCCTCTCCCTCTCTCAGAACTCTACTGCTCAAATACGAAAATCTTTCAAAAAATGTTTCTGTAGTTATTTTCATGTACTTGAAAGGCAGAGCAAGAGAGACAAACAGGGAGGAAGGGAGAGCGGAAAGGAGAAAGAGAGATCTTCCATTCACTGACTCACTCCCCTAAATACCCACAACAGCCCGGATTGGGCCAGGCCAAAGTCAGGAGCTAGAACACCAGCCAGGTCTCCCACATGGATGGCAGCAACCCAAGCACTTGAGTTATCATCTGCTGCCTCCCAGAGTGCATTAGCAGGAAGCTAGGTCAAGCTGGATTGGAAGTAGAGAAGGTAAGACTTGGACCAGGCACTCCAACATGAGATGTAGTTATCCCAAGCATCGGCTTATCCTGCTGCGCTATGTCCCAAGTCCTGATTTTTTTTTTAATGTTTATTTATTCTCACATAGTTGAAAGGCAGAGCAACCAAAAGAGAGACGGAGATCGATCTTCTTTCACTGGTTCACTCTCCAAATACCTGCAACAGCCAGGGCTGCCTTAGACCGAAGCTGAGCCCAGAACTCCATCTGCGTCTCTGAGGTGAGGGGCAGGAGGCTGGTTTGGAAGCCGAACAGCCAGGACTGGAGCCAGGCATGCTGAGCTGAGAGGCGGTGCAGGTATCCCAAGCAACGACTTAGGCTGCTGCACCACAGGACCTTGCTCCAGGGCTTACTTTTAAAAGGCAGGCCTAGAAATCACTCCAACAAATCCCGGCTGGGACAGAGGCAGCCAATGTCATTCCCATCTCAACACGATTAACACCTCGTAGTTACATAATGGCCAGCAATTTTAGAGAGCAGCTTCCCATGAAGGAACTCATTTGCGCTTTCTCCCATCATTTCAGCTTATTAAATCCTCCTTACAACCACAGGAGAAAGGTGTTATTATCCCAATTCACAGATGAAGGAACTGAGGCTTAAGGAAAACTGACCAATTTGCCCAGGGTCTCCCAGAAATGAAACCCCAGAAGCACCTGGCACTCAGCCAGTGTTGTTATCTGCCCCACCTCTGCCCACCCCCCACCTACACACACACACACACACACAGCACCTGGCCCTCAGCCAGTGTTGTTATCTGCCCCACCTCTGGCCCCCCACCACATATACACACACACACACACACACACACAGCACCTGGCCCTCAGCCAGTGTTGTTATCTGCCCCACCTCTGCCCCTCCCACTTACACACACACACACACACACACACACACGCTTTTCTGCCTTCTAAGGAACCTGTCCACCGTCCCCAGCTCACCAATGATCGTCCGGGAACGCCATAGCCTCTTGCCCTCACAGTCACCTGCGTGGTTCCTACCCTCAACTCATACCCTGGCCTTCTTTCTGACGAGGGAGCCTGCGAGGCATCAGACCCACTCCTTAACCATTTAGGCTTACACAGAATGACTACTTCCCTTTTATCCACAGAGAAGGTTTTTATCTTTAAATGTTAAGATAATATTATTTTTGGAAAACCAACTGGGTTCAGACCCACAAGTATGCATGGGGCGAAGTGAGCCAGGCCCACAGGTGCGTTCCAACCTCCAGCTCCAGCAATCTGGTTCTTTTGCGATGCATCCTGTTCAGCTGGAGAAATCCAGACTTTATCTTACTTCTCTCTCGGTCGGGGTTTTCCGAGCCCGGGTGGCAGTGTGGAAAGGCAGGCCCGCGGACCGGCGTCTGACAGTGACTGACAACCACAGCCAAGAGCGCACTCGGCAAATGCACGGCCGGTGTCTCTAACCACAGGCACAAGGCAGTTCTCAGCCCCACCTTGCACATCAGGAGCCTGGGGCTGAGCGAGGTCTCAAGGCGTCTAGTTGACTTCCAGGTTCAAACTGAGGCCCATCTGAACAAGTGGTCCCTCCCCTTGTCCCACACATGCCTCACCCTAGGTCCCCTCGTAGGTGCCCTTAACTCATTCAAGAAAAGGGGGTCAGCCCCAGCTGAATCAGGCCAGACAAAGTGAGTTTGGTTTTTTTTTTCAGCTTCCTTCTCCAATACCCTTCCCCCCACCACCACTTTTTTTGGCTCACACAGTTTAAATAAAAATTTAATTAATTGCCAATTTTAGAAATTCACTGATTTCATGGCTTCTCATGAAAACCAGGATTTTCCTAAAAAAAAAAAAAAATCACACAATATGCTGATACTCTGTGTGGCCATGAGATCAGGAACGCTGGTTGCCAAAGCCATCACACCCTTGGATGGGCCATGGGATGCCTTGGCATTCCTACCCACCCATATCCCCAAAGGCTGCTGAGACACAAGAGGGGTCATGGCCACAGTGCCACTCACCACTCACCACGACTGTTTTTCAAACCCACATATCTCTCAACAGTCAAGGAAGCAAGACACAAGCAATGGGCTTGTATGTATGCCAAGCAAAGGACAAAGTGCGTATGGTCCCACCAACCTAAGCTACACTGTCACCGACACTTGCCTGTCCCTGGAAGCCATCCCACAGGGGACCCTTACACTGTGCACTGCCCACCCCGTTCACTGGGCTTTTTTTTTTTTTTTTTTGACCACTTACCAAGGGCCCCTGGGGACCAAAGGATGGTGACCGCCACTTGATCGTGGCAGGCATACTGGCTGATGGTGATGTTCTGTGCATCAGCAATCACGTGCTTCCCCACTGGGTTCAAGTAGGCGGTGCAGTCTGGAGGGTTGAGAGGACAAGAACACAGTTTTGTTTTTATCTTCAGGAGCATCTCCACAAGTTACGCAGAGCGAGTCTGGTCTGGAGGTGGCCAAAGCCATTCTGTTTTACAGATGTCTGTCTCAGAAGCCCACAGACAACATCAAAGGTTGACTATTGTTTGGGAAACTAGAAGGTGCTATTGAAGCATTGATTCACAGCTCCGCCAGCAGCTGCAGCAGTAGCTGCCACCCGCCCTGGGTTGCACTTGGAGGATAGCTTTGGGAGGATGGTAGACAGTGTGGGGTTTATGCGTGAATCTGGCATTAACTGTTTTTTTGGTTTTTTTCCTATTACATAATTTTACCTCAAACAGTAACTGTATCAATTCAACCGCTTTTCAGTATGAAAGCTATCTGCACAAGGTATGCACACAGCGCCTGAGTGGCAAGGATGCCAATTAGCATTCCCAAAGATAAAACATTTGTTCCAAAACACTATGTGTCATCAAAGACACCCACAATCCCCACTAAATCCCAAGAGCCCCGCGTTCCTCAACAGACACAGCCCCATCCCTCCTTTGATTCTGTCTCAAGACTTTACTCTCTGGCACCTGTCAGCGAAGCCACAGCACGGAAGCAGCTGCTCCACCTGCTCTTGCTAAACACACCTACAAACAACTCCCAGCCAGAATCAGTCTGAGACTTCAGACAATGGCCACAACCTGTTCTGGCCACTCTCACAGGCAGAATCACCGGCCATTCCTGGCCAACACTCATGATTCTCATGCTGCCTCATGTCCAGTCCTCTCCCCATGATTAGCTTCAGATACTTTCTTTTGTATCTGCCGCAGAACATCTTCAGTTCTATCACATGTCCAGAGCCGCCTGGCTACCCCTCTGAAGTCATGTGGTTTCCTTTGGGGCGAGGTATTCCAGGGCATGTCCCAACAAGCCCTTTATGGGAGACCTCTGAAAACTCACAAAAGCTTTCCCTCCCTGGTTGCCTGAGGATCAACCAGTATCATGAATGACACGGTGTCTACTTCGATCAGGAAGTTCATGAGCCACAGGCTACTTCAGAGGAGACAAGTGGTCATTGATGCCCTTTGCCCAGGGAAGGCTACACACAGAAATTTGGGAAAAGGTTCCACTAGCAGAAAGATGTGGAAATTGACAAGACCATACTGGATGGCATCTTTGTATTTGGATTCAGAACCCATTTGGGTGATGGCACGACAACTGGCTTTGGCATGACTTCTGCTTCTTTGGCCTACGCGAAGAAAAATGAACCTAAACATAGAACTGCAAGACACAGCCTGCGTGAGAAGAAAGAGACCTCAAGAAAACAGTGAGACAAACTCTCCAACAGGATGAGGGAAGCCAGAGTGCTGCAAAGGCCAGTGCGGCTGCTGGCGAGAGCAAGCTGGGGACTGGAAACAGCAGCAGGAGCAAAGATTCTACCGCGACTTCATCTGCAGCAAGTGTATAAAGCTGTTAAACAACTTTTAAAAAAGCAAATCACAAAAGACTATTTTTAAAATGTAAAAGCCATCCACATTATCTCACCACTCAGAGGTAACCGTTACTAAGATCCTAATGGACACCCTTCCAAGCCTTCTAACCTACACACAAGATTTCTCCTTTTAAATTTCGTACTGAAGGCTCACACGCACGCACCAGAACGCGGCCCCATCCTCCACACTGCCTTGTATCCTGCCTTCTTGCCTAACCTGACTCTCTGTACTCCTCTAAATGCCATCTGCTTCCAAAACAGGCACCTTTCTATTTCAGGTGCTTCTCCTGAAAGGATATTAATAATGAATAAAAACAAGTTCTGCTTCGGATGAAAATTCACTCTCAAAGCAATCAACAAGTGTTCTCTGGGTGGGTGCAGAAGAGAACTTCAGAATAGGAAAATACGTTTAAACATGTGGTTTAACACCCACATTGTACACACCAGGAACCTACAGCCGTAAAAGATAAGCCAGGACGCTTAGGATTCCACCAGTGGCCATCCCAGCACCAGGACCATCGGTGGCCTCCAAAGGTTCATCCTTGGCTCCTATCATTGTATCAAATTGGCACAGAGCTTTTTCCTTCTAGCACAAGCTCTCAATTAGCTGGCAAGCCTGCAATAATTCTGGCTGGGACCAGCTTCCTGATAAAGACAAAGACAAGACCCTCTCATACTTGTCAAGTGCACACATTTTCATCTGTTGAGGCTACAATGAAAGAGAGACCTTTGACTGAAGCAACTCTAAAAAGCTGCAGGAGCAAAAGCAAAGCTCTTTGTTCATTCTGAAAGCCAAAATGGGAACACTCTTCGGGTTTCTATAAATACAATTATGCAAATATAAAGTCTAAGAATTAAGAAAGTGTACTGCAATCTACACAGGCACACTCTTTCCCAGAGTCTAAACAGGAAACATGATGGCAAGGTCAAAGAAGGCAAGGAGGCTTGTGACATGCACTGATGACACAGGAGTGGAGAAGTAAGATTTTGTAGCTTAGTCAATTTGGAGAAAACCTGCAATTGTCCCTTAGCTATTTCAAACAGAACCCACAGCCAGTCAACTGAGCACCAACAGGAACATCCTTGTGGAAAAGAGAAGTATCTTCTGCAGTGGAAAATGCTGAATAAATGTTTTACCCAGCCTGGATCCAACCACTGGCAAGTCTAAAGTTTTGGATTCTGGTTTCAAAAATTTATGCCCAAATAACATTTTGCCAAAATGCAACGAGTTTCAAACATCTCAGTAGTCAATGCAAGCTGTGAATTAAATTCTAATTACATGTTCAAGGATTAAAAAGAAACTAATGACTAAGGGACAGGCACAGGCCCATGGGCCAAATAGTTAGCATCCTGAAGACAACACGTTTTACAGGTATAGATCCTTTTCACCAAACCCATATTAAATTAGAAAGGAAAATTCTTGTTTGCAGCTGACCGGAAAATTTTGAACTCTCGAATGTAATACAAGATGTGCCAGGACCAAGAGCATGTATTAGAAATTAACTTCCTTACTCAAAGAAAGATGCCTTACACATGTCTTTACTTAACTGAATCGAGTATCATGGACTTGCAAATCTCTCATTACCATCCCAGCATTTACCCAGAAAAAGCACATGCCACTAACATGAAATGTCTGAGTTGCATGTGGAATCTCTCCTTGGTGACTTCAAACACCCGTGCCAGCAACTGTGGGCAGGGATTTGACACACATGTTTGTATCCTGACATTGTTTGACTGCATCCACAACCTCAGTGATTACTCCAGAGGCCTCAGTGTGAGCTAAGCCCCTTCTTTATGCGGATTCATAACTTTCTCCGAGAGATGAATCAGATACGTAGGAGTCCAGCTCCCTCTGGTCATTTTTGCACCTAAATCACAGTTCCTAAGGCTAAAATACTCACAGTCCTATACAACTACCTGCTTATGAAGGAACACAGCTGTTTAGAGGGGATCCTATATGCGTCCTCAGAAAAAGGGCTGCCACGCTGTCCTCGGGAAACAATTCAGCCAGAAAAAGTCACAGTTCTTGAGAAAAGCGGTTAAAAAAAAAGTGCTTGTTTTCACCCCAGTTGACCTGGTTTCTACAATAATAGACAGCAATAACTGAGGATACACTGCAGGCCAGCCACCAAGTTCAGCAGTGAAAAGCATGACTTCGTTAAAGCCTCAAAACAATGCTAGGAGAAGAAAAGCAATCTGTATATTTTATATTAAAAAACCTGAAGCTTGGCTAAGTCCAATCACCTACCACAGCTCACTACAGCTGACAGGTATGGAACTTGGGGTGGGGTGGGGGTAGGGGACGGGGGTCTCAGAACTCAGACCAAGTCAGAGATGGCCAGTTGGAGACCCCTGGGCCAGTCTGGGACACAGATTCACTTGGCCCACTCTGGGCTTATAAACATTTTCAAATAACTGCTCATATGAAAAAATGTAAATTTCCTGCTATTCTTGGAAATCACATCTGGCTACACTCAGTGGGAATTTCTCAAGGCCACAGTGAGCTGGAATCCAAAAGCCAGGGCTCCGCTCAGACCAGACACAGGCGATCCAGTTTGCCACGGTCCCCACCATTCCCTTGCACTTGGGCAGCTTCACTCCCCTGTCTCCACCTGACCCCACCCTCCCTGCTGAGCCCTCCTGGCACGTGCAATGGAATCTAGGGAAGGTCTCTGTGCATGGCTTTGCAGAGCACCATGGAAGGCCCTTGACCCGTGCCAGTTCTAAATCCTCAAAGGGCTTCGCTGAAGCCTGAGCTGCCTCACCTCTCTTGAGAAAGCCAAACAGGTTCAGAAAATTCCTCCCCCTGCAGGACCTACAGGATCCGGGATGAGGCCCGACGAAGTACCCTTGCAGTCTTCGTGGGCAAGCCAGGCACTTACTGTCGTATCTGAAGGTGAGGTTGTGCAGCCCGCTGCTCCTGCTGGCCGGCCCCACTCCCTGTGGGAAAACAAGAGAACGTGAGGTGGAGGCGGCCAAGTTCCTCTCCCAGCACAGACCCCACGGGGTCGGGGTCTCAACCCACGCAGGCCCCACAGTGACTCAGGCTCATGCCGGTCCCCGAGCTTTGCCTCTCCTCTTTCCACTGGCCCAGGAGATTCCCAACTGCCCGGGCAGGGCGGTCATGTTCACTCACTTCCCCCTAAGACGACAGGAGCGGGCTGCTCTGTGCTGAGGGGTTAAATAATTCATTAACAGCAAAATTGGAAGGAAGACCAAAAGCTGCCAGCTGGAGCCCTTCCAGCCGGATCTGCTTTGAACACTGATTGGCTGTAAAATTCGCTTACCAGACGCTCTCATCGGAAAGCTCTATTAAACCACGACAGATAGGCAATTCCTCAAGTCTAAGGAAAGCAGTTTCTCCTTCCAAGACCGGGAATGAGTATGGGAATAAGCCGTTACTTTTAATGAGAAAATTCTTCCCTGCATCCGCACCTATGCTTGGAATACACAGGGTGGGTCATAAAAGCAAACTTAGAAAGACTTTCAGAGCTCTACCTCCTAGCTCTGGCTGCTGTGGCCATCAGCCATCTGCACTACTAATAGCAGGGCTAACAACTCCTCCAGACTTCCCGCCTTAATTACAGTGTCCGCGGAGGGAACGCCGGAACCCTCCCGGTGACCCCGCCTTCCCCTAACCCACCACTTATCCATCATGGGAAAGAGGAGCTACACGTCTGCCCACTCGGGTTTAACTGCCTCTCTAACAACCTGCAAATGTGCCGTCCAGTGTTAATTGCAGAACCCTCCAAAATATGTTAATTTAGAAAGGCTACGTGATGGGAAAAATCCTCTAACCACACAGCTGAAGTTTCCGTTCAGCAAGGAGGATGCTTGGTCTTTAATGGGCAGTCGTTACACGGAGACATGATGTGCGGAACACTCAGAAGGGAAGGGGCCCGGGGTTTCAGGCCACAGCGCCAGCCCAGCCATATGCTCCAGGCATGTTTGTGCTGCTCAGTCTGAGGCCAGGCACGCCCACTGCAACTGGATCCCCGAGCTCAGATGGACACGGACCTTGGGAAAGCACAGCTGTGCACAAAGGGCTGGACACACACACTCCCTCCCCGTTCTGAAGTGAGGACGAAGCAGCCCAGCCCCTGATCCACTGGAGCTCCTTCTTCACAGCTCACCCCCTCCTCCAGCTTTCTTCTGCCTTCTCTTCCTACATACACAAAATTCCAGAACGCCTCACCTGGACAGAAATACTTTGGAAAGGATTGCTACCTTATCAGACTCTTTAAAAAGCAGATTTATTTTATCTGGAAGGCAGAGTTAGAGAAAGAGAGATTTTCCATGTGCTGGTTCACTCCCCAAAGAGCCAAAATGGCCTGGGCTAGGCCAAAGGCAAGAGCTCATCCGGATCTTTCACGTGGGTGCAGGGGCCCAAAGCACTTGGGCCATCTGCCACTGCTTTCCCAGGCACATGGTAGGGAGCTGGATCAGAAGTGGAGCAGCCGGGACTCAAACAGGTGCCCAGATAGAATGCAGCAATGCAGGCAGCGGCTTAATCTGCTACACCACAACGCCGCCCCCTTTTGAGACTCTGAAGAGTGCCCATGACTCCTTAGGGACTAAGTCATGGTCTGCGCTACAGAAGCTCCCCACCCTCTGGATGATGGACACCCACGCAGCAGAGACCATGAAGGAGGCAGTCCCACCCCCTACAACCCTTTGGTAATGCCCAAGACCAAAGCTCAAAACACCCTAACCACACCCTCTTCCTCCCTTACAAACCCCGGGAACAGAAACCCACTCATTCTCTAGGCATTATGCTAGGAATGACATTATGCTCAGGGAATGAAGTGGCATGGTGCTCGGACTTTCAAAGAAGAGTTAACTGGATACCTGGATCACGTTCAAGGCATCCAGACAAGTCTCCAACAACATCCTGGGTCTCCACGAGCCCCCAGCATCAATGGCCAAACGAGATCTATGTAGTTAGGGTGGCGACACCAGCCAGAAATAAGGGCCCAGCACACGAAATGCCATAAGGTGGCACCTGGCAGGGATGAAGGAAGGGCAAGGCTGACATGCAGCAGCTTGAAGGCGGGAAGAGTGACTGGGCCAGAACTGTGGAGGAAACCAGTAAGTACCTCAATCCTGCCTCCCTCCAGCTGGTGACCAAGGGCAAACCACGCTGCTCCACAGGTCTGAGTCTCCCAGCTCTGCGTTGGGAGGGGGCTTGCGGAGGGCCACATGAAGCCACATAGAGGCGGCACATTTCAGAAAGGAAACACATCCCACTCCAGGGGCGCAGGCACTCTGCTGACCCATCAGTCACTTGCCTTATGGGACTTGGTCAGCTCTTCCCCCCGTTCCTGTTTACCCTCCATTTCTTGTGTCGGCTTTCCCTCAGTTTCTGTTGCAACATGTTTTTAGCAGGTATTGAGCGGGCACGCACAATGGCCAATGTGTTGTGGCAAGAAGCCCAAGACAGTGAGATGTGCTACCTCATGCATGCAAGAACCTAAATCCCTCCAAATAAGTTCCTGCAACAGGTGCGGAGCTCTTCACGGAACCAATGAGATCTGCATGTGGCTTCCACTCAACACCCAGTGAGCATTTCACGTGGGCCTAAGCTCTTTGGGGTTAGACCAGCTACCAACCAGACCCTTGGCTGCCACCTTGAGCTCCAAACACACATCTCTGCTCTCCCCTCCCCGCAGTCTGTCGCTGGCTGCAGGCCCTCCTGGACCACTGCTGGTATGGCCTCTGCCCAGCTGCCCAGCCACTCCTTCCTCTACACTCAAATCCCCACCAGGCACTGCCACTGCTCAGCACACGTTCCCAGGCCCTCCCGAGGTCCCAGAAATCCCTTCTCCTCTCATCTCCTCACACAGGAAGCCACGTCTACTCCCCACATCCTGCTTCCCCAACGCCCTGCCCACCCAGCCTAGTCCCAGCCACACAGTGCTCGGGGCCTGCATACTCACTTGCCACAGCGTGACTAGCTCAGCACTTCCGTGGACGAGGATGCCAAGTGGTAATTCCCTTTCCACAGAAAGCCATTCGCCATGGGACCCTGTGAGCACCCAAGCCTGGTCACAGAACCCAGAAGCAGGGGACAGCAGCCCCGGCACCAGACCTTCCGGGCACCGTGAAGAGCTTTCACCCGGAAGTGTTCCAGCACGCTGCTACCTGGCTGTCCTCCGCTAACCCCCAAAGATGCTTTCGCTGCTCCAGAAATCAGCTTAAAAACGGTGTGCCGAGGCTAGCCCACGCCACATGCGCTACTGTGCTCGCCACACTTCACGGTAGATGAATGCCCACACCTAGTCACTGGAACCTGGGACTATGCTGTTTTGTTTTTTAATCTGTTTGGAAGACACAGGAGTGGGTGAGGGACAGTAGAGGAAAGATAAAGATTTGAAGATGCTACACTACTGGTTTTGAGTGCAGGTGGAGGAAGAGAGGGCTAAAGGGCCAAAGAATGCAGGCAGTCCCCAAAAGCTTAGGGCTCACTGCGCAGTTCTGCCCTCCAGAACTATAAAATAATAAAGTTGTGCCATTTGCAGCTCCTGCATTGGTGGGAAGTTATTATACAGGAGGCACTTCAAAAAGCTCAAGGAGAATGACACTAAAAGATGTTTATTTGGGTGCAAAAAAATGGAAATCCATGCAGTTTTTTCACAACATGTACCTTTTCATGAACTTTTAAAAAATATTTATTTATTTGATGGGGCCGGTGCTGTGGCACAGCGGGTAAAGCTGCCGTCTGTAGTACCAACATCCCATATGGGCGCCAGTTCAAGTCCCATGTACTCCACTTCCAATCCAGCTCTCTGTTATGTCCTGGGAAAGCAGTGGAAGATGGCCCAAGCGCGTGGGCCCCTGCACCCATGTGGGAGGCCCGGAAGGAGCTCCTGGCTCCTGGCTTCAGATGGGCCCAGCTCTGGCCATGGTGGCCATTTGGGGAGTGAACCAGTGGATGGAAGACCTCTCTGTCTCTCTGTAACTCTGCCTTTCAAATAAATAAATAAATAATCTTTAAAGAATTACTTATTTAAAAGGCAGAGTCACAGCTACTTTTGCCCCTGATTCTTACTTGTATCGCAGGGAGCTGGACTGGACGTGGTACAGCTGGGACTCACACTGGTGCCCAGATGTGATGCTGCTGCCACGGGTAGAGGCTTAACCTACTACGCCACAGCGTCGGCCCCCATCATACACATTTTTCGTGAACTTTTTGAAGACTCCTCTGCATCATGAGGATCTATTCAACGCAGCACCTGATTCAGAAATGTTCACGGTATTGTTGCTGAGAAGTCTCCTGCCTACCTGATCCCAGAGGACACACCTGGAAGGTGGGAACGCTCGCAGGAGCTGCACTGTCCAAATGCTGTCTGCAGCAGAACCCTGGAGGACTGTGGGAGACGGGGTGGAAAACCAGGCCAGGGCAAAGTCATGGCGGGAACTGGGGCGGGGGGGGGTCCCCAGGAACCCCACCTCTGACAATGACACAAGTTGGATTAGAAGAGTCCCCATGGCCTCCATAACCCCTGCCTGCAGTCCTGGGATTGGCAAATACCGTCGTCAGCCCTGGACAATGATTAGTTTCCTGTCCGAATAAATGAATGCAGGATTAGAACCAGTGACACCTTTCTAGGTGTTACACAGTGACTTGTGGGCTCAGAACCCAGGCCTATACGAAGAGGAAACAGATAGGCGCACATATGAGGCTGGTCCGCAGCTGGGAACTGTGTTTCAGGAGATAATCCCATGCTTACAGCTACTATGCCGTTTTGATATTTAATGAGCTGACAATGAAAAAGACGTATTTGTTGCCTGTTACTGAAAAACCATAAATGCCAAAGCTGTGGCCTCAGGGTGCCGCATTCTTAGTTAATTAACCACCCCCATTGGCTGCACTAACGGGTAGCTTTTAATTTGTTCCAAAGCACCTAAGAAGCAAGTCTTGAAGCCTGGAGCTCTGCTCT